GTAAATAGTTTTTAGGAAAGATGAGTGATTGTTTGCCCAGGCAATATTACAATAGTTAATATGACTATTTATAAACGAAAAATATAAATTTTTTAAACATATTTTGTTCTAAAGAGGTTTGGTCTTATACATTATACCTAAAGTCTTAGAGACTTTATTCTCGACTAGCTTTATTTGGCTTTTCCAATTTAAATGTTCGTCAAAAATTATTCCAAGTATTTTCATTGAAAACACTCATTTTATTTTAATATTGTTAATAGTTAGTTCTGGTAGTGTAAGTGGAAAATTCTCGGATTTAGATAGCTAAGCAAACAAAATATATTTTGTTTTTTCAATATTCAATGAAAGTTTATTTGCTATGAACCACTCATTGAGATATTCTATTTCTTGATCTTCTGGCTTTGGCTGTTGCAGGTTTTGTTGCGCCTATTCCTCTTGTTATTGCGCCTAGTCCTCTTGTTGTTGTGTCTGGTTCTCTAATTTTTTTTTTTCACATTTTCTTTTCATTTGATTGCTGGGGATTATTGTCATACTTTTGTTGGTTTTTTTCTTTTCCTTCTTTGTGTTGCTCACCCTGTGTAATATATATAAAAAGTGTTTCGCCTTTTTTTTAAAAATTTGTTAATGCAGGCATTTTATCCAAGAACACTTTTTGCCTCGCTTTTTTCTCTTGTTATAAAATGATTGGGAGAACCAGATAAAAATGTTATCTGGTTCTGCCAACCGTAAATTGAATTTACGGTTGGCAGAACCAGATAACATTTTTCGTTTATGTTCCATGTTTAGTCTTCCTATATAGTAGAATAAAAACAATTTTTTAACAGGTTGTTTTACCAGTTATTGTACAAATTAAAAATTTAATGAACTATTAAAACATTACACCGAAATTAAATTTATAATTTAAGGTGGTACAACACTAAAAAAACTAGGAAACTAAAATATTTTTTGAGTTTTTCAATTATCCACAAAGTATGTGTCAAATTAATTAAAGAACGTTTAGCCAAAGTTTCAGAGCTAAATAATTTATTTTTCTTTAGATGAGCAATTTATTAGAACACTATGTATCTTTTTTTCCTTAGCAACGGAGATTTAACATGGTTGCTAGGGCATTTTCTCCTCAAAAATAAGCTCAATTTTACTGCAGTCTTCAAGCTTTGTAAGTTTGATGTCACTTCTATGTTTTCCCAATTGAAATTCAATTAAAAGTCATTGTTCTTAACCACTAAACACGTTTAGTAACAGTTAACAGATTTAAAAGATTTGGAGTGTTATTGTTTGTTTACTTATTGGATTTGTATTATATATATATATATATATATATATATATATATATATATATATATATATATATATATATATATATATATATATATATATATTTAAATTAAATAAAAGAAATGCCAAATAAGCAAAATAGTACTAGATAGAAGAGCAGAAAATGGAATGGGTTTAAATCATCTGATATTCTCAAATCAAAACATGCTGATCATGAGATTTCATTCGCTAGCTCAAGAAAGTTAATTATATCTTTCAGCTCGGATAAATGTGAACCTGACGACTATTTTATACTTAATAACTTTTTATTGTTAAAGAAATTAATTGCACAAAATGTTTGCCCCAATTGCTTTATTGGAAATTTGTTAATCAAAGATAACGTTGATTCTTGGATGGGCTTTTGTCATTTACTTGAGATGAAGTGTACAAAGTGTAACTTCTCTAAAAATTTTAGAACTTCACCAAAATCAAAGAATTCTTTAAACACAAATAAGTTTCCTATTGATACTTTGATACTGTTCAAAAAAAAATTTTATCTTTAGAATCACCATATGAGACCAACCTGCGAGCTGTCATTGGATTGCGAGAAATAGGTGCTGGTCATGAGTTGATGAAAACTTTTTCCTTCTGTATGAATCTTTTTCGTCTGTCGCCTAATAGCTTTAATAAATTGAATAAAACTGCCATGTTAGTATACAAAATTGCTGCTGAGGAACGTATGCAAGAAGCTGCTTTTGAAACCAAATCAATAAACAGCTGTCTTGAAATAAAAGAAGTTAGATTTTTGACTGATGGTTCATGGCAAAAGTGAGGTCATAGTTCTTTAAATGGCGTTGTAACTGCT